CACTACTTATATAGGTAGAGTTTTTGTTTTACCAGGATTTAAAAGCAGCCACAAAACAGAAAGAAGTTGAAGTATCTTGTGCCTCTTGGAATCACCGAGCAACCACTGCCTTCTTATTCACCTTCGCAATCCTATGAACCAAATTTGAGACTTAGTGCAGACAAAATGTTAAATGAAAGACTAACATAAACAAATCCCGAAGCGTTTGGTCGAAGAATAACAACATTGTACGAAGCAGCAAACCCACAACAATAGTAACAAAAATTACCATAGATATGAGTAGCTATGACTAAACGATATATCAAAAAATAAGAAATACAATGTAGTATGAGATAACAAGCAACACCTTACCAGCAACAAATCATGACGGATGAGGAAGTCGCGGCGACTAGCACTGAACAAGTTAACCAAAATTACATTCTAGACACAAGCAGCAAACCAATGAACAAAATTAGTGATTAGAAAATGTCGGCGTGGTAAACTTTTATGCTCTTAATAGAAACAATAAGTGACGAGGAAACAAACCTACAAGTTTTAGCTCGATTTCACCAAACGAGTTCGACGGAGAAAGAGATGGAGCGGAGCAAGTTATCTAGTTGAGGGCATTATTTGAAATTAGGGCAAACCAACCCCTAAAAAGGATCTATATTTGGAGTTGATACAGTCCATTAGAGGAAATTGGGTCGCGGTAGTGGTGAAATAGCATTGAAGCAACAGAGGGAATTTTGGAAAGGGTAAAATATTTTAGTGGTGGGGAATTTGGAATTAGGCAAAGTATTTCAGCGGGTATCTCTTTTGCCTTTTCAGAATTGGGGGGAAGGGAATATTTTGGGGAAATTTTGATTGTAATTTTTGGAGTACACTTTATAAGTGTTGCTTTTTGGATAAAAAAAATAACACCCTCCAAAAGTGTTGTATTATAGGTCAAAAAGCGTTACCAAATATTTCACGTTTTGGCAACGCTTAAAAATCGTAGCCTTTATATTGAAAGAGGACGCTTTCCGTAGCCAAAAGGTCT